CCAAAGATTCTTCAGACCAGATGGTGAGAGAGGTATATAAAAATTCAGTTTCTTTGTAATGTCATGAGGTCAGTAGTACAGAGTTCAGAGTCTACAATTCCTTTTTCAATTTAAAAATCCCAGTGGATCAAGTTATCTTTAAATTACTGTCCTAGTCTTTGGCCTTCCTATAAATTTCTTATCAACATCTTTTCAATTATTTTATGAAAGTTCTCTGTCTTTAAAAGTAATCATCAACTTGCTATCATCTTAAAGTATTTTTTCTAAACTGCTCATTTAATCTACTAGATGAAATAGCACAATTTAAAAGCATTAATTTTTATTAACAGCTATTAAAAATAAGACAGCAGGTCCAGTAATATGACTCAGACATAAAAAAAATAAAATAAAATCTTGCCATCTGCAACAACATGGATGTGCTGAGTGAAATAAGTCAGATAGGGAAAGACAAATGCCATATGATTTCACCTATTTGTGGAACCTTAAAAAAAGCAAAATAAACAAAATAAAAAAGTCATAGATACAAAGAACACTTTGACAGTTGCCAGATGGGAGGGATTAAGAGGACGGGTGAAACTGGGGAAGGGATTAAGAAGTACAAACTGGTGGTTACAAAACAGTCACAGGGATATAAAACACAGCATAGGGTTATAGTCAACAATATTATAAAAACTATGTGTGGTGCCTGATGGGCACTAGATTTATTGGGTGATCACTTTGTAAGTTATATAATTCTAAGCACTCTGTTATATACCTGAAACTAATACAATGTCATATGTTTACCACAATTGCAAAATAAAAATTATTCAAAATTAATTTTTAAAACGGCCCATAATGGAGTTGCTTACACTAAGTTCCATGTCAGCAAACAGAGGCTGAATTACAGTTTTGGTTCTACCAGAAATGATACCTTAAACCAGTCAATCAGGAATCACTTGATCGGCACTAGTTAGTACCTCTGCCATCCCCTCAAGGAAAGTAACTGCAATAACCAACTCACTTCTTTGCCTGTATGACGTCCTTGCCCCTGCTTTCATCTGCCTGTAAAAGTCATTTTGTACAGCTCCTCAGAGTCCCTTCTACCTGCAAGATTGGATGCTGCCTGATTCAAACAGATTTTTGCTCAAATAAAATCTTGTTATGTCTCTGGGGGGAAGCAGAATTTGTCACCCCAAATTATGGCTTTTTTTTTTGGATGTTAAGCTGATTACTTTTAAGGAATGAAAAACTCAGAAATAACCTTTGACCTTCTCCCTATCTGCCTAAAAAAACTAATAGAAGACCTGCTCCAGGAAAAGAGCCACCATCACAGATAACTATAGATAACTATAGTTTAATAACAACTAAACGTGACAGACAGGGAAAAACCTAGCAAGGCCCATTTGATCAAAGTCCTCCCTTTGTCCATTGTGAAAGATGGTCTAGAAAACACATTTGTTAACCAAACATTTGCTTTTCCATCTCCATGTGATTGCCTTCCTGTCCTTTGAAGTCCCAAACCACACACTCCACTTTCTCCTTAGTTCGGGGTGGCAAATAACTGCTGCATTCATCCTGGGGTCTTCTGATCTCGTGAACTCTCATATGTACATACTTAATCAATTTGTTTATTTTTCCCCCGTTAACCTGTCTATCAATTGGATTGTTAGACTACTCAGAAGAATTTAGAAAGGTAGAAGAAAAATTATTTTTCTTCCCCTAGACCTCAGTTTATCTTTTAACATAGCTAAGGATTTCAGAATACTGTAGCACTTTTCAAGGTTTTGGAAAAAGTCTCTATTATATGTTCTCAGGTAAAGGAAAATGGACTCTAATTTAATTTACTTAAAGAGATAAATAAAATCTGTCTATGTTTCATCATAGACCTAATGGAACTAGTTCCTTACTGACAGTGACTACTATGGGATTTTGCCAGTCCCGGTTGCCCTCAGACCCACTCCTCACCTCACCATTATGCCTGGTCACAGGGGCCATGTTCCCTGGTCCCTGTGGCAGTAGGCTCCCAGCTGGGTGTGACCAGTGGTGAGACTGGAGGCTAAGAGATAAGAAAGGGGAGAGCAAAGGAGAAGGAAGCCTTCCTTCTGTGTTACTCAGTTAATAGGTTGAAATGTGAAATATGCTGCTTCCAGAACCCAAAGAAATCTATGAGAGGGTGGTACAATTGCAATAACCTATCTCATGGGGTATGTCCTGGTATGCCCAGACCACCGGACCTCTAAAAATGTTGCTGATGTCGTAGGCCACCGAATCTTCATAGGATTTATCTCCCATTCACTGAAACACAGGTATCTTTCCAAAGTCACCAACATACTTGCCACTTCCTGTCCATTCAGTCTAATGAAGCCATATAATAAACCAATGTTATATTCTGCAGCTCTAGGTGGTCCAGATCCCTTTGGCTCGTTATATTGGAGAATGGAAACTTAAGGTAGCCCTAGAACATCATCAAGGTGTACTGGCTGTGTCCATCCCACAGGAATGCCAACTGCTTCTTATTCTCTGTTCTTTCCAGGATGAAAAAGAGATGCCTTCCTCATATCATCAGTCTGTTCCAGAGACCATGGTAATATCTGGCAAGGATTCACCTGACCCAGCAGACTTCACCTGTTGGGCTCTGAATCTGAAAACTAACTCAGATACAGAAACTGGGTAAGGCATCCCAACTTTTTTAGATAGCAGCCCTCAACCTCCTGATGATCCATTCTTGATTTATTTTTATTTTACAGATTGAGCAATACTCAAAACTCTTATTGGTTGTCCATTCATATTAGCCCGTAGACACACAATCTCTTAGCCATTTTTATAGCTCTCTCTGTGTCAGACTCCCCTGAGTGCCATTCTTCTTTTCTTCTTATCATTCTTCCTTTTTTCTTATTATAATTGCATCCACTTTGCTTCTGATGGTTTTAGTCCTAACAACTGGCCTCTGTTACTTTAAGATCCTATCATCTCCATGGTTATGGCAGGAGAGCTCAGCCTTGTAACAGCATAGCTTACCTCTACAGAGGCCTGTCCTGCAGAAGACAATAACCACTAATAGATACAATCATTTAAGATAGGCACTCAATGATCCTGGTGCCCCTTTTACCACCACATTCCTTATCATGTCAGAAGTTGAATCACTGCCTGGATTCTTCTGCAGAACATAGTCAGAAGGTAGACTTTTCAGACATATAATATATCCATTCTAGAGTATACATATCTCTGAGCTTTTTGATCCTTTACTGTCTTCCAAAGCAGTCTGAATGTTCTATTTCACCTTCCAAACCTTCTTGCACCAACTTAACACTATTTCCCTGGGGGTTAAGTCCTGTGTTACAGAGAATGCTCTCATATCCATAAATTCTTCTTTACTGAACGTTGTTATCTCACCACCATTATTCAGGATCTTTAGGATCCAGTCCCACATACATTTTCTCAGCTCCTGCCATTACCTGTTGGCTAAATCCTGCAGCTCCTTTAGTAGGTCCATTTCTTCCTTTAGCAGCTAAAGAAAATGCTAGGTTATTTTGTTACTTAACCCTAGTAATTAATTAGTCTGGTGGCCAGGAGAGGAGATGAGGGTTGATTATGAGGCGGGGGTGCATATTGTCTTATTGCCTCTACATTATCTTTATGCCAAGGAGAATCATGGCCTTTAATGGGAAGGAGAGGACTAAAAACAAAATCTCAGATCTCTCAGTCAGAGTTAATGCTCCTTCCTCTGATCTGGGCTTATTCTGTTATGTCCCCCACACTAAAAGCCAAGGTCCTTTGGCCCAGGAATTGAATCTGTTTCTTTTATATATACCACCTGCCAATGCCCTGGATAAACTTGATGGATGAATAAGAAATTTGGCCTTCATATTACAAGAGTTTCCTATAATTTTGTAAAGCTCCTATAGCTTTAGGAGACACATTAAACATGGGAGAAAAGTATGGTCCATAAATATGTGACCAGCACTGTGGGGGTGAGGGAAGCCCAAATACATGTGTTAGGTATAGATCTCAAGGTATGTTCATGGAAGAAAACCTGGAGGTCTCGTGGGGAGGTGCTAGAGGAATATGTGGAGATAAAAATAAAAGATTAGGAATGATTGATATACCAGGAAATTGAGGGAAAGATGTGGGACAATGAGGAGTGACCATATCTGTGGGTGGTCCTGACCTTTTAAAATAGGTGGTGGCTTTTGTTCTTATGCCTACCTCACCCCCATCCATACATTCCTCAGCTATTTTTATTTTATTATTGCTTCATTCCACTGTTTCTTGAAGATTTCTTTTAAGATTGTATTTATTTATTTACTTACTTACTTACTTACTTATTTTTAGAGAGAGGGAGAAAGAAGGAGAGAAATCTTGAAGAGTTCCTCATAAAATGAAAATGCCCCTGGGAAGCATTTAGCTTTAGTCAGTAAACATTTTAGTTCCAATAATTAGTTACCAATTCAGCTAGCATATAAATACCAAATCCTAAAAGATATGGAGTGCAGTGGTTTGTTTTACATGTCAACTCAGCTAGACTACTGTCCCAGTTATTCAATTAAATATTCACTTAGGTGTTACAGTAAAGGTATTTTGTAGATGTGAATTCAATCCGTAATCAACTGACTTGAAGAGATGTTATCCTAAATAATCTAGGTGGGAATGGTTCAATCATTAAAAGGTTTTATGAGCAGAACTGAGGCTTCTCTGAAGAAACTCCTCTGTGAATAACAGCTTCAGCTGGTGCTGGAGAGTCTCAGTCTGCCTTTCCTGACGTTCTACTCTACCAGTGTGCCTTGCCAACGACCACAATCATGTAAGCCCATTTTGTGCAATAAATCACTTAACACATATCCCCTACTGGTTATGTTTCTCTGGTTGAACCCTATTAAGAGCTGGGGGCTAGGCAAGCAGAGGCTTGCATGAAGAAATAAAGGAAGAGGAGCAGGCAGCAAAGGGAGTACTGACTAGGGAGTTAATGGGACACTTCTGCATAGGCAGGCTTTATTTGGGAAAATAATAGAAAGGTCAGAAAAGACAGGAACCAGAGGACACAGAGTGCAGAGTAAATAAAGGTAGAAATGGTGGGGAGGCTGCATCACAAACTCACTCTTCATTGGCAGCTTTAGTTATTGGCAGCAAGGGGAGCGCAGAGGGAGTATTGACTTTCTAATGGAACCTAGTTTCTGAAGACTGCGTGGAAGTTATTCCTCAGAACAACACATGCTTGCTTTGGCTTCTTTGTGCATTTCCATTCTTTCATGCAACCAGAGAGGCAAATGCATGCGTTTGCAGCTATTGCTTCCAGACTCACCCACAAAGTCAAAGGCACCTGAAAAAAAAAAAAAAAAGAGCAGAGAGGGAATCAGGTTCTTTGTATAGCTAGAGCATTTTTCCAAATACCATGCATGAATAATTCTCCCAAATTTTCCAGAAACTAGTATGAATTCTAGACTATTTATTTGAATAACTCAGAAGCAAGAATACAATCTAAAGTAGGACAGATAGGAAAAATACACACTTAAATAAGGAAGTTAGTAAAAAGATGACAAAGTTTGTGAACTTTGAAAGAAAGAAGAAAATGACCCTTGATGACTCTAAGCAAGCAACTACTTGGCATGATAAAACTAGGAATAAGCAAAAAGTAGAGATCCAAAACTGGAGACACTTAAAACTGCACCTATAATTAAAGGAATTAGCAATTGGATGAGAAATGTAAAAAGATAAAATAAGCTAGTAAGCTAAAATTTTTCACATAGAAATTACATGAAAATAAGTTGAAATAGAAAATCTTTGCAGTAAAAATTTCTTCTGAAAGGAACCGACTACTGATACAATAACATGGATAAATCTCAAAAAACAGTATGCTAAATGAAAGACAACTATACTAAAGAATGTAAACTGTGTGAATCCTTTTACATAAAGTTCTAGAACAGAAAAGACTAGTCTATGGTGGAAACTAATAAAAACAGTAGTTAGTTCTAAGGGGTGAGAAAAGGGATTGGCTAGAATGGACAAGGAGGAACTTTCTAGGGCAATTATTAGTCATCAGGGAAATACAAACTAAATGCAAGTTAGAACTACAATGAATTACTCCAGTGAAAACTATGTACAAGCAAGGAGCTGTGGATGGCCTTTCATTGCTGAGGGTAGCCTCTGTAGTGTCAGCAAAATATTGAAGCCCTTAGTCCTACAACCACAAGAACCCAAATTCTGCATGAGCCCAGAAACAGAACTGTCCCCAGCAGAACCTGGGAGGAGACCATATATCCCTAAGCAATGCCTTGAGTGCAGCCTCATTTGAACCACTAAGTATGTGGTAATATTGTTTTCAGCAATAGCTACCAATATAGAGGCTTTCATATTTTGTAACAAATAGATTAAAAGTGAGAAATACAGATATATTTTTTAAAAGTTATGTATTGGGTTGGCCAAAAAGTCTGTATGTTTTTTTCTATAAAATAAGGGACAGGTTTTCACAAACATTATTGATTAGATATTTTGAGTATGTTGACTGTCTCCCTCATAGTATAACATTGATTGTTCTCAATCAATGTCTCTGTTTGATTGCTATCAACTTCAACTGGTCTACCCAACCACAGAACACCATCCAGTGAGGAATCTCTAGCACAAAACTTTACAAAGTCTTTAAAAGTGCTTTATAAATAAGCACTTTTGACACGTTCAATCAGTCACAGCACCTTCTCCATATACCGTGCAAATCTTTTTTTGCATTTCAGTTATGTTTTTACCTTTCCCGACATAATAAAGCATAATATGCTGAAAATAGTGTATTTTCTGCCATCTTCTATATTAAAATGGCTACACAAAAATTCACCAATTTTGATACATTTTTTAAAATGCATGTTGATATGACAGCTATCACAATACAATCTAACAAAATTGTTTTGAATAAAGTTGGAGATGACTAAGCGTTACTAGAGCCATCTTATGGATAAAACCAAACAAACTTTTTGGCCAACTCAATACAATGATAGGCTATGCATAGATCAATGGAAGAGATTTAAGAGTTCAGAAATAAACCCACACATTGTGGTCAAATGCTTTTTAATTCACATCTAAAAAAAGACAAAGACAATTCAATAGGAAAAGAACAGCCTTTTCAATGAATGATGCTTTCAACAAATATCCATCCTCATGCAAAAGAATTCATTTGAACCCTTACCTCACACCCTACACAAAAATTAACTCAAAGTGTATTATAGGTTTGCATGTAATAGCTATAGCTATAAACCTCTTAGTAGGAAACATACGTTAAAATATTCATGACTTTGGATTAGGCACTGATTTCTTAGGACCAAAAACACAAGTAAAGAAAATAGGTAAGTTGGAATCCAGCAAAATTATTAAAAACCTGATACTACCAAATTTTGGTGAGGATGAGGAGTGATCTTTCATACTTTTCTAATGGAGACATAAAATAATATAAGCACTTTGGAAAGTGAGAGTTTCTATCGTAGATCTATCTCTTAGCCCAGCAAATCCATTACTAAATATTTACCTAAGAAAATGATGAATACCTATAAATATTCTTATAAAATTACTTTTATGGAGAATGTTGTTGACTCGGTAGCCTTAACGCAAGGAAGTTTCTCAGCAAGATAACAGGAAGGAAGTTATGGTGCTGCCTATTTGGGAAAAGAGTTAAAGCTAAGGATCCCACTTTGGAAACCTTTATCATTACCCAGCTATCAAGAATGGTAGAAAGTTAGAATAACGTTTTAAAAAAAGAAAAATTGATATTTATTGAGCACTTAGTACATGATAGGCAGTATGTTATATGGTTAATCTCACTGAAACCATAGAAGTGAATATAACAGTAATACTGTTTTCATTTTACAAATGGAGGAAACTCAGAGAGGTTAGAGGCTTGCCCATGGTCATCCAGGTAAATATGTGATTGTACATGCCTCTGTTAAAAGAATTGTGTCTGTCTCCTTTATCTTTGGGTTTCCAATGTCTAGCACCTATTGACTATATAAAGAATGAACGAACAAATTAATGAATGGTGGAAGCACTTCATTGTGTGACCTTAGACAACATACTAGTATCCCTATTCTACACTAACTCTAAGTAATTTTTAAAACATGAATTTATAATTCAAGGTTTTATTTTGTTTTACACATAGACATTATACAGCTTTACCTTTGACAGGCAAGTGAAATTGTTCTTTCGAAATTCTAAAATGCAAGAAGGACCCCTAAAATTAACTAACTGAAAATGTAATGATTACTTGGAGTCAGTAGTAATTACTATCCTACTCTATTAGCTGGGTAATACACCTGATGTTACAAGAGGCATTTAAAATACTAGTTGCTATACCAGAGACACCCTACAATCTCCAAGTCTTAACTAATTAAATGTTTATTTCTCCTTCAACACACAGTTCTGTGGGGGTGAGCAGGTTATAAGGTCTCTGCTTTACACTGTCAATCAGGGCCCCATGCTCCTTCTATTGTATGTCTGTGCACTACTCTAGGTCTTCAGAGTTCTTTCTGTTAACCTAGTAGATTGGAAAAGATATGAAGATTACTTCTACTTTTTATGGGGTAGACTCGGAAATGGCACATACCACTTTTTAATGTTTTATTGGCCAGAACTCATTCAGAAGGCCTCACCTAAATGCAAAGTATATGCCTGAAGAAAAGAGAGGGGGACTCTCGAAACCCAGCAAAAGAAGGATGTTATGCCTAGTATAACATCTAGAATATGACATAGCTCTTTAAAATAGACCAAATATTTATTGATATAATGAAAATACCAAATAAAATTAAAGTATAAAGGAAAAGAAAACAACAGGCATAAATGGATCACAACTAGGTAAAAATATATGTATATTTATTGGTAATCAAAAGGATAATATTTTAACATCTAAATTGTAATGCAGAGAGAGAAAAAAGAGTATAAACTTAGTCCATAATTGGGCTTACTCTGAAATAGGAATAACAGGAGTCAATGGTTACTGATTGATGGCTGTATAACAAACTACCTCCAAACCATTTCATGGGTCATGAATTTAAGCAGGGCTCACCTGGAGAAATCTGTTCCATTGACAGAGGACATATGGCATTCATCTGGCAGACAGAGTGTTCTGTACAATCCAAGATGGTTTCATTCAGATGTCTAGTATCTTTACCAGAAGACCAACCTAAGAGGGAACTGCTGGATAGAACATCTATACATGGCTTCTCTGGGTGAAGCTATGGTGGCCTCTGGGTAGATGGACTTCTTACATAACATCAGGATTTCTGGAAATCAAGGGTGGCTATACTTACAAGTACATCAAACAAAATAGACTTTAAGTGAAAACTACCACAAGAAAACAAGAAGAACATTACATAATGAGGAAATGTCAATCACCAGGAAGATATAACAATGATAAATATATATGCACCCAACATCAGAGCACTTAAATATGTCAAGGAAACTGACAGAACTGAAGGGAGAGATGGACAGCAATACAGTAACAGTAAAAGACTTCAGTTCCCCGCCTTCAATAACAGAACCTCCAGATAAAATATCAACATCATTGAGGCTATTCAGGGCCATTTATGGTTCCATATAAATTTTTGAAATGTTTGGTCTATATCTGTGAAATATGTCTTTGGTATTTTTATAAGGATTGCAGTGAATCTATAAATTGCTTTGGGTAGTACGGACATTTTGATTATATTAATTCTTCCAACCCATGAACATGGTATGTGTTTTCATTTATTTGTGTCTTCCTTAATTTCTTCCTTCACTGTTCTGTAGTTTCCTGAGTACAGGTCTTTTACCTCCTTGGTTAGGTTTATTCCTAGGTACTTTATTTTTCTTGTTGCTATAATAAATGAGATTTTTTTTCCTAATTTCTGTTTCTGGTATTTCACTGTTGGTATACAAAAATGCCTCCTATTTCTGAATATTGACTTTGTATCCTGCTGTTTTCCCAAATTCACCTATTAGGTCTAGAATAGCCTCAGCAATTTTGAGAAAGAAGAAAAATGTAGGAGGGGGTCACAATATCTAATATCAAACTATACTACAAGCCCACAGTAATCAAAATAGCCTGGTACTGGCATAAGAACACACATAAATCAATGGAACAGAATAGATAGCCCAGAAATAAACCCATCTCTATCAATTAATATTCAACAAATAGGACAGGAGCATAAAATGAAGGAAAAATAGCCTCTTCAACAAATTGTGTTGGGAGATATGGATAGCTACATGCAAAAAAAAAAAAAAAAAAAAGAAAGAAACTCGGCCACCAACTTACACCATACACAAAAATAAACTCCAGATGGATAAAAGACTTTTTTTTAAGATTTTATTTATTTATTTTTTAGAGAGGGAAGGGAGGGAGAAAGAGAGAGAGAGAGAAACATCAATGTGCGGTTGCTGGGGGTCATGGCCTGCAACCCAGATATGTACCCTGACTGGGAATCAAACCTGCGACACTCTGGTTCACAGCCCGCGCTCAATCCACTGAGCTATGCCAGCCAGGGCAAAAGACTTAAATATTAGTTGCAACACCATAAAAGTCCTAGAAGAGAACATAGGCAGGAAAATTTCAGATATTCCATGCAGCAATATTTTCACCAATATGTACCCTAGAGCAAGGGACATAAAGGAAAGAATAAACAAATGGGGCTTCATCAAAATAAAGAGCTTCTATACAGCCAAAGAAAACAAGCAAAATGAAAAGGGAACCAACTGTATGGGAAAATATGTTTGCCAATGATACCTTGGACAAGGGCTTGATCCCCAAAATATATAAACAACTTCATGACTCCACACCAGGAAGACAAACAATCCAGTTAAAAAATGGGCAAAGACCTGAAGAGACACTTCTCCAAGATGGACATACAAAAGGCCCACAGACATAAGAAAGGCCCAACTAGCCATCAGAGAGATGCAAATTAAAACCACAATAAGATACCACTTTACACCAATCAGAATGGTCATCATAAACAAATTAACAAACAACAAATGTTGGAGAGGATGTGGAGGACAGTGCACAAGGGTGCATTGTTGATGGGAATGCAGACTGGTGCAGCCACTGTGGAAAACAGTAGGGAATTTCCTCAGAAAATTAAAAATGGAACTGTGTTTTGACCTGGCAATTCCACTGCTAGAATTATACCCTAAGAATCCTGAAACACCAGTTCAAAAGAATCTATGCACCCCAATGTTCATAGCAGTGCAATTTACAATAGTTAAGTTCTGGAAACAGCCTAAGTGTCCATCAGTAAATGAGTGGATCAAAAAACTGTGGTACATTTACACAATGGAATACTACGCAGTAGAAAGACAGAAGGAGCTCCTGCACTTTGTGGTAGCATGGATGGAACTGGAGAGCATTATGTTAAGTGAAATAAGCCAAGCAGTGAAAGACAAATACCATATGATCTCACCTATAAGTATAATTTAATCAACAAAACAAATAAGTGAGCAAATAGAACCAGAGACTTGGAAATAAAGAACAAACAGACAGTTACCAGAGGGGAGAGGAGATGGGGATAACAGGGGAAAGAAAGGGAAGGATCAAGTCAAGGAACACATATAAAGGACCCATGGACAAAGACAATGGGGGGAGAGAATTAAATGTGGAAGATGGGGGGTGGGTAGGGCAGGGAAGAGTAATGGGGGAAAAATAGGGACAAATGTAATTGAACAACAATAAAAAAAGATCAACAAAAAAAGAGAACTTGAATAACAGCATAGATTGAATTGATCTATGAGACACATACCAAACATTCTACCCACGGCAGCAGAATATGCATTCTTCTCCAGGACACACTGTCCTTTCTCCAGCAAAAGGCCACAGTTGGGTCACAAAACAAGTCTTAACAAATTTAAAAAGATTGAAATCATACCAAGTACTTTTCAACCACAATGAGATAAAACTAGAAATCAACAATAAAGGAAAACTAGAAAAATCATACTTTTGAACAACCATCAGGTCAAAGAATAAATTAAAAAGGAAAGTAGAAAGAACCTCAAGACAAACAAAAATGAAAACACAACATTCCAATACTTATTCAGCAGTCCATACTTAGTACCAAAGCAGTACTAAAAGGGCAATAAATGCCTACATTTAAAAGAAAAAGAAAGATCTCAAATAAACAACCCAATTTTACACTTCAAAGCTAGAAGAAAAACTCATCCAAAGTTAGTAAAAGTATGAAAATAACAAACATTAATGAAATTAATAGATAAATGAAATAGAAAAAAGAAAGCAATAGAAAAAAAAACAATAAAACAGAGTAAATATTTTAAAAAGATAAGACCAACAAACCCTTACAGAAAGTAAGGTAAAAAGAATACACAAATAAAATCAGAAATGGAAGAAGAGATTTTACAGTTGATGTCACAGAAATTTTTTTAAAAATCATAAAAGGCTTTCAAGAACACTTACACATCAACAAACTACATAAACTAGAAGAAATAGTTTACACTTACTAAGAGTAAACCATGAATATATAGAAAGTCTGAAAAGATCTGTAACTAGTATGGATATTGAGTCAGTTGTCAAAACTCTCCAACAAAGACAACTCCGGAATCAGATGGCTACACTGGTGAATTCTACCAAACAGGAAATATATTCCACTTTCTCAGTCACAATAATATCACTCTTGTCATCTTTGTCAAGGGCATAACTATCACTCATATAACTGAATTTGTTTAGAAAAATTACCATTTAAACAAATCAACTGAGTAGATTGAAGATGTCAAATGTAAAGGGACTGGGAGCTTGAATATTAGCAAAATCTCTGTTTTGTGGAATTCATTCTTTTTACTAAAAATTTCACAGCTTAAGTTGTGCATAAATTTAACTTCTTTCACTTAAAAAAAAAAAGGTAGTTCACAGGCTGGTGCAGATGGAACTGGAGAGCATTATGCTAAGAGAAATAAGCCAGGTAGTGAAAGACAAATACAATATGATCTCATCTATTAGTGGAACCTAATCAACAAAACAAACAAGCATGCAAAATAGACCCAGAGACATGGAAAATGAAGAACAAATTGACAGTGACCAGAGGGGAGGAAGGAGGGGGTTAATGGGGCAAAGAAGGGGAAGGGTTGTCAGGAAAATGTTTAAAGGACCCATGGACAAAGACAATGTGAGAGGGGAGGACTGAATGTGAGAGGTAGGGGTGGATAGGGTGGGGAAGAGTAATGGGGGGAAAATGGGGACAAATGTAATTGAACAACAATAAAAAACAAATATGGCTCGTTACTTCCAAATGCTATTATACAGCCAAGTACCTACATGTGCACAAGTGCAGCTGAGAACAGAAAACTACGCAGTTGAATCTCAAGCCCAAATGGCTGACTTGCAAACTCTGAAGCTAAATACATGCTTACTGCTTCAAATAAACAAGTAAACAAACAAATAAGATTAGAAAATAAAAATTAAAAAACAAAATTTTTAAGATAACAGTTAAGTTCTAGAGATCTGCTGTACAATATTGTAACCATAGTCAACAATACTGTATTGTATACTTAAAATTTTGTTAAGTAGGTAAATCTCATGTTGTGTTCTTTCTACAATAAAGTAAAATAGGAAAATAACCAAATTGCTAAAAGGATTCTAACAAGTATCAGGGTTAGTAAAGACTCCAAAGAATGGGATGGATACCGTGTTACAATCATCAGATACTGGATCTGGAAATTTGAATCCTGCATACTCCTGGTGAGTTCTGCTCAAAACCGAGCAGAGGAAGGAAATCTAGCAACATAAAAAGAAACATGAATCAGACTTTTGGTCAGCTCTGTGGTGACACTGAGTCATAAGAGTGGAGCAATTCAATTCACAAACTTCCCTTTCGTGACAATACTAAGGGGCCGAGAACCAAGGAATATCCTCACTATACGTCAGTGTAAGATCCTGACCCTCGTACATAACACAGTACTACCACACTTGGCTCTTCCATGACAAAGAAAGAAAAGGGAAACACTCAAAATTACTTCAGCTTTGAACCTGCAGAATATTCCACACACATTCATATTCAAAGCATGCTTCTGGAAAAAATCAAACAGTAGAGAGAGGTATAAAAATATATAATAAACAATACAAGTCTCTCTCCTCTCCACTTTGATATCACTTTGATAATATCCTCCCAGTGTGGTGTACACATATACAGATCTACCTACACACACATACACTTGAAATAAATGGTATTATCCTAACTATATAATATCATTCTGCAATTTTTTTCTTACTTAAGATCTGTATAGACATACTTCATTTTCTTCCATTGCC